CCTTCATCTTCTTTATTTAGAAAATAAATAGTGACTGGGCCGTGGCTGGTGTGAACAGTCTCTGTGACACGGGCAAAGAACCAGGAGCCAATTCCATACAGTAAAGTTGGGATGCCTGAGGAGAGATAAAAACACGTTACACACACACAGAGTGAAATCCAAACTGCGAGTTCAGAGCGAGGAATGGTGACTCCAAAATGAACTGAGAGGGAAAGTATGCCTTAAAAAAATGTTGTCTTTATTTAAATGCAGCAATCAGTGCTTAGCACCTTTCCTGTTGACACAAGGCAGGAAGCAGCAATATGCAGGAATTATTAGAAAAAGAAAACAGGAGGAGAACAACATGAAAGAAGTGAAACATTGTCATGTACATGTGATTTCTACTGATTAAATATATATATATATATATATATATTCAAATACTAAACCCAAACTCCCAGAATATCCACTTAAGTTACCTGAATCTATGTCAGAGCAGAAATTAATAAAACAGGCAGTGAATCCATAGATCAACATGAAGCTGCCCTGGGGAAAATCAGCAATCAAAACTACCAGCTCCAACAGAACTGCAATGGGCAAAACGGTTTATATATTTTTATATATATATTTATATGTATATATATATTTAAAGTGACATGTTTTAGCACTGCCAATTTATCCATCTATTACAGACAATATTCTATTTGTTACAGAGGAAAAAAACAGAGCTGGATTTAGGCCCTGAGTTTGGAAACACCAAATTTAATATGCTTGAAGCTAAGTGCTTAAGCAGAATTCTGAGGGAAATAAATTGCCTTTTTAACCGTGTTTTCCAATCATTTAAATATGAAACATGAAGAGTAGTTGTGAGAAAAACAAAGGTGTGACTGGGTGGAGGGAAAAAGAAAATCAGATTTAAAGGTGCTATTATGAAATCAATGTTTGTGATTATATTTTCTCACTACATCAGTTTGGAAAGGTCGAAAAATTAAGAGCAGCGGACATGTTTTGAAAAAGTCACTGAAGACTTATGAAAGAAAGAAACATCTAAGAAATTAAACATGAAAATAAAGAATGCAGGAAATGTTGTGGCACTGGCACTGTCCATGCTGGCATTTAAATAAGCATTGAATCTGCAGCCAAAGTTCTGGAATAACATACTTCAAAACTTAACTACATCTACTTTTATATTAATAAGATGCTGATAAAGATTTTTTATTACAAGGATATCTATTCCAGCAGCACTTAAAGATCCAAGCAGCCTGACCATTCCTGCCCCAGACACTGCCTGAAAGAGTTTCGCTTCAGAATTGCTCAGAGGACAAAAGTTCCTCCCCGGCACGCGGATTTCCAGCTGGAAAACGCTCCCTGCCAGAAGCCTGAGCGGGTTAAATACCAACAGTGCGATCCGTGGCTGTCACCGCGGGCAGAGCAACACGAACCCGGCAAAGCCCCCGGCAGGGCCGGGCTCGGCTCTGCCCTGCCTGAGCCCACGGCCCGGCAACTCCTGGGCCGGAGAGGAGAGGGAAAGAAGGGGAGAGAGAGGAGTAAGGAGAAAGGGCGAGGGGGAAAGACACCGAGGAGAAGGGAAAGGAGAAAAACAGGGGACGGGAGAGACAGAGGAGAACGGGGGAGAGAGAGGAGAAAGTGAGGGACAGGGAAAGAAAGGAGAAAGTGAGGGACAGGGGAAAGAGGAGAAGGTGAGGGACAGGGAAAGAGAGGAGAAAGTGAGGGACAGGGGAAAGAGAGGAGAAAGTCAGGAGGAAAGACAGAGAGAGAAGGAAGGAGAAGGAAAAGGAGACGGAGAAGGCTCGGAGCGGAGCTGCCCGGTCCGAGCCGCCGTCCCGGCCCCCTCAGGACGCCCCCGGCGCTCGCTGCCCCTCAGGCCGCCCCGGGCCGGACTCACCGGCGTTGAGCACCTTGAGGGCGGTGAAGAAGGCGTCCTGCAGCGCCAGGTCCTGCGGGGCGGCGCGGGAGCAGTGGTACTTGATGAAGGGGAAGCAGCCGGTGCGCAGCACCAGGTAGTTGGCGCCGTCCACGGGCCAGTTGAAGTGCGAGAGGCCGAACTGGTCGTTGTGCACCGCGCTGTACTTGACGCAGAACGAGGTCCAGTGGGGCAGGCGGCGCTGCCGCAGGTGCTGGCTCAGCACCTCGGAGGCGGGGGGCCGGGCCGGGGACAGAGCCGGGCCCCGCCACAGCAGCAGCGCCACGGCCGCGCCGTGCAGCCGCCGCAGCAGCGCCCGCATCCCGCGGGGCTCCGCGCCTGCGCCCGCAGCGCGCCTGCGCCGCCCGGGGGCGGGAACCGAGCGGGGACGGAGAGGGAATAGCTCTGGGAACGAGCAGGAATTGCCTCGGGAACAGAGAGGGACGGCGGCCCAGGAGTGGAGCGGGAATGGGCCCCGATCTGGGCCCCTCGGTTCGGGGGGTTCACTGAGGGTGAGGGGCTGGAGCGTGTCCAGGGAAGGGAACGGAGCTGGGAAGGGGCTGGAACCCCGGGAGAGGCTGAGGGAGCTGGAGAGGGGCTCAGCCTGGAGCAAAGGAGGCTCAGGGGGGACCTTGTGGCTCTGCACAGCTCCTGACAGCAGGGGACAGCCGGGAGGTCGGGTTGGGAACAGGGACAGGAGGAGGACATCGTCTTAAGCTGCACCAGGCTGGACAGCAGCAGGAATTTCCCCATGGAAAGGGTGGTCAGGCCTTGGAAAGGGCTGCCCAGGGAGGTTTGGAGTGCCCATCCCTGGAGGTGTCCCAGGAGTCCCTGGAGGGGACACTCAGTGCTGTGGGCTGGGGACAAGGTCACAGGCTGGCCTCGGTGACCTTGGAGGGCTTTTCCAGCCTCAGGGATCCTGGCATTCCGTGACAGACACACCGAGGGCATGGACCACCCTGAGCCCTGCACGGAGCAGGCAGGAGTGGGAGCATCACCAAAAAACGGACAATGGCGTTTTTAGAAAGGTTTTGTTGACCCCGACGTGCTGAGGGAGCACCTGCAGCCCCAGCCGGGCTCACCTGTGCTCAGGAGTGTATCCAGCTGCACTGGGCTGACCTGGCAGACCTCCCGAAAAACCTTCAAGTGTCAGACCCCTTCAAATAAATATTTTTAAATCACAGCCTATATTCCATTTTTCTAAGTAAAAGCTAAGGTTTTGAACCATTTAGCATTCTGTTTGAGAGGGAGGAAAAGTCTAGGAAACTGAGAAATGGAAACAGATTTTTTCTTTCAATAATTGCCAGCAATATCTCAAACTCAGCAATCTTAGACCATGGAGCTATCCAGTATGAACATGCTAATTAATCAATTACTACCCAACAATACGCCCTGTTTATTTACTGTACTACATGTGTGTACAACAAGTAATTATTAATCATCACCAGCAACAAATTTCCCCTTCAAGTTCACCTCCCTGTAATTAATAGAGCATATAGTTTAGCTTTAATATCTTTCTTTAGTAGTGGTAACAGTGGCTGAGGGTAGAAAAGTTGGAATCTGGTACTGTGCTGAAGGGTTGAAATAAAGTATTGAACCTTAAAAGTGATACAATGCTGTTGTGTTTCATTAATTACATTAATGAAGGTTGTAAATGATTGTACTTCTTAATCTTTTGTTCTTCATCAATAGAACAAATCTGGAATCTAAAATGAAATGCAGAGATCTCTACAGTGTAACAGGGGTTGCCTCTGAACTACAGTATCCCGTTGTTAAATGGATTTTATGTGAATTTTTAAGGATAGCCTTAAAAATCCAGGAATTTGTTACCTTAACCTAGAGGGAAGGTGGTGAATTCTCCTGATCTTGAGGTACTGGAGATCTTCCAGGAAAGAGGGAGGGTGAACATTTCATTTCAGAAGACATCTGGAAGTGGTTGTGTTGATAAACTGCTTTTTTTTTTTTTGCTCTGTGCTAAAGAGATGTCATTCTAAATGTGGAAATGTGGGCTAAAAGCTTTTTTTATTTCTTTTATCCAGGGCTTTAAACCCAACTACCTAAAACAGGAGACCCAGTTTCCAGTATCATCAGCTCTTTCAGGAGAATGACCTGCTCTGTGCTACACTAAATTCTGGCTGCAACTAAATCCACCAAGTGCTGCCAGTTAAACAAACATCTCCATTTCCAGCTCTGACTCCTGGGGAGCACAAATCCTTTATTTTAATTGTCTGCATCCTCTGCAGTTGCTGCCAAACCTGCTGGCCCTCACCTGCTTCTATGAGCATTCCTCCACTCCCTGCAGCTGAGGAGCCAGCTCCAGTTTTTGCCCAAATCTGGCATCTTTTGGGGCAGTTTCTGATGAGAAGCCACACTTGGGCCACCTTTAGTCTTTTGCTTCACACTTGTTCTGTTTTTCTTCCCATCCAGCTCACGTTCTGAAATTTAGTCTACAGTTCAACAACTCTGTTACTCTTTTCATGAGCGGGAATAAATAATCCAGTAGTGTGAACAGAATTATACTCCTGACTTTTTAACAATATTATCACTTCATTTTAAATCTGCAGCGTTGCTAAAAAAACCCACATTTTTGGCACCAGCAGCATGGGAGCTGAATGTGAGAGACTGCAAAGCAGTTTCCAATCCTTCCATCAGCTCAAGGCTCAGAAGTGTTAGTAGTAATTAAAAACTTTTTTTTTTTCCCCCTCTCAAAATACATTTCACACTTTGCACACGCTGAGAAATCTCTCTCACCACGGGAACTTTCAGGTCACTTGTTTCCAGCAAAAACAGGTACAGTTTTCTTTTGTCAGGGCAGAACAAAGGCAGAAGGAAGTGCAGGTTTCATTTCCTCCTAGGACACTGCAGTCTATCAAGTGCCAGTGAACTAATGAGCCTCTCAGACCTTATGTTGTTCTGGCTTGGATCAAGGCTTCCTTTTCCTTAACCCTTTGGAAACCAGCTCAAGTGCAGCTAAATTCCACCTTGGCAAATTCTCTGTGGGCTCTGGGCTATCCAAACCCAACACCACAATGATGTGAAACAGCAATAAAATCAGAAATTAAAAATACTCCTGTGGATTTTTATTTGAAGCAGTAACCAGCATTTATGCAAATGAATTAATTCTGTGATCAAAGGGAAAAAAACCACAGAAAATAATGTCTCATGCTGAGGGATCAAAGATTTGCTGTCAGAAAAACTGGGTGCTGATCTCGTGCAACTGCTTGGTCTTGTTTAGTATTTGTGTTAAAACTGGTTTTGCCTGAGCTTTTTGGGAAGTAATCCCAAGGATACTGGCCATTCCTAGGATAACAGCCTCCATGCAGAGAGATCTGCTCTTCCACAGTAAAATGTGGAATGTGTTGTCTGTTGGGATATTAAAGATCTGACTGAATGTGGGATGTTCCCAATGGCACGGGCAGGAACCACAGAGATTTTCTGTCTCAGTTAATGTTACTTCACACACCAGCTCAGAAGGAAAACCAAACCTGTTCTTACAGATGAGGAAGCATTTCCAGAAGCAGAAGGAATGAGGCACTTGAACATTTTCTGTTAACTATTCTTTCAGAGCATCTGCTTCCCAAGGTTGCTCTTCTTCCAATCTCAGTTTGTTTTGTGCTGTAACTCCTACAATTGCTTCAATATCTCGAATTGCCATCTGTAACAGATTCCAGGAATACAAGTTATTTAATGGGCATTATAATGGAATCCAGCAGCCAGGGTGCACAGCTGGCAGTGCCTGCCTTGCAGAGGTAACAGGGTTACACAGGACAGGATGCACCAATTAAATTTAATATTACTTTGGAGACACTGGGGGGAATTATTAGTAAATATGTACAAATCCCAGGTAAATAAAAATACAATTTGTACTCCTAATTAACTAACAGGTGTTTTATTTCACATATGTTCATGCACAATGGAGAAAAGTTCTCTCTTTTATTTTTTCTCCATGGTTGCTTTTCATTCCCTCATATTGAAAAATGAGATTTTTTTTTTGTTGTTGTTGTTTATTCTGTAACATGTTGAAATTTAATTATGTCTTCCCCAAAAATCTGTCATTTCACACTCTACTGGAAAATCCAGTCAGGGTGGAAAGAATCTGCTATAAATTATGTGACATGACTGAAAATACAAATCTAACACAGCGTTCCCCTTCACCTTCCACAAAACACACTCAGGATCTTGGAAAGTTTTTTATGAAGTTAAAGGTGATGCAGCTCAGCAAAAGAAGCTCCCTGTGGGCAGCTGAGCAATTCTGTGGAATCAAAAGCAGCTTTGTGAGGAGGGCTTGTTCCAGGGCACGGGGTTGGGTTGGTGATTGCTTTGCTGGCTCTGGCTGCAAGGTGGGGGAATGTCCCCAGGGTGAGCCCCTGTGCTTTGTCCTCCCCCTCTGCAGCACCCAGGGATGGGCACATTCAAACAGCAGAGAAAACTGGGAACAAAATCCACTTGGGAAATGGATGGCGGGGTGAGGGTGGGAAGGAATGGATTAGTGGCTGCCTGCTTAAAGAAATGAGTGTTAATAATCCAAGCAGTTATTATCAACTGAGAGATTTGTTTCTAATTTGAGATTCTTACCTTGATGGTGTCCCTTTAAAATAAAGCAGGCAATTGTGACAGAACTGTGTGAGGCAGTGCCAACAGCTCCTTTGCTCTTCCAAAGGACACTCAGGAGCATTAGATTACAAATAATTTCGCGCTCAAGGATGTCTCTTTTCAAAGAAAAAAGTTTCAAACTTAAATTTAACTAACGGGTGCCGTGGGAGACCCACTACACTGACCCAGACACTGTAAACCACACACAGCCAGTGATAAAAAAGGAATGGTTTAGCACTTGTTTATGATCCAGCATGAGGTATTTGCAGGCCTTGTACAGAAATTAACCAGGATCGTTAGTTAATTAACACCTCACCTTAAAATTGGTCTCGCCTTGCATATTAGGTGCTGATATTTCTTGATGGATGATGAAGAGATTGCGAGCAAAGGTCAGGAGGACCCCCTGGAGATCCTCTCCGATTGTTCTGTTAATGATATCCAAACAAATGAGTTTACCAATGATTCCCTTCACATGCTTAAAAACAATCGCCCTCTCATTTGTGCCTGCCTGGTGCTGGAATTTAATGAGGATTTTCAATCTCACAAGGTGAAAATCTTCAGGGAGATATGAAAGATGAGGCTCCATTTTAACTTGTCAACGGAAAGGATTTGTGTAATAAATAATTTTTATTAATCAACTTAGCAGAAGTAAGCAGAGAGGTTTCAGCTACTCCAAGTAAAAGGTGACTGCTGAGGAAGGACTGAAGCTGCAGAACACTTGAAACACCCACATCATTTGGGAAAAACTTGCTTCAGCCTAAAATTTGGGAAAGACATTTCAGCAGGATCAGCATTCCTTGGATTGTTGCAGCTTTGGAGGCTTTGCTTTCCCAGTGGTCCACATAGACTCTCCACACCTTGTGGAACAGGGAATTACACTGATTAATAACGTGCCTCATTCACTGGAATCGACCACAGATCTCTGATGGAATAAAATGGGTAATTCTCAGAGATGTTTCAGGTATTTCAGTTATTTTATAAGCTCCAACTCCTACAATCTTGAAAATATTTCCCAATTAAGGCTATGAAATTGCTCTGAAAATGTGATGGCAGACAACAGGAATCCTCTTTGTTTCAAGTTGAGTTTATTTCTTCTTGTCCTCCTACCAAAAAAATCAGATTTTCCCTTCCTGCAGAGGCTTTTTCTGTGCTGGGAGATCGTTAGCAGATCCCATTTCTGCCCTCCCTCTCCTTTTTAGTCTTTCCATGTCAGTCATGCTCTCCAGAACTCTAAATATTTTCACTGCCTCCCTCTCACAGAACAGCAGGATTTCTTCCAGCATCTCCCAGGATACACTGTTTATCTTTTTCCACAGGATCACGACATTGTTTAATTCACAGTTCCCAAAACCTCCTTGTTCCTCATATTCATTACTGCTCTCTAAATGTAATTTCTTCCACCTGGTTCCAACCGAACCTAATTCTATTTCTCATATTGTTCCTTCAATTTGTGGAGATCATTTTGAATTCTGTTCCTGCCCTCCAGAACACTTGCAGGCACATCCAGCACTTGAAGAAGCTGTTTTGTTATCCAGGTCATTAATGAAATAGCTGCAGCATCAAAGGAATACAGAACAGGCTGAGAGCACAACGCTTCAGCTCCTCACTTATTACATCCTATTTGGGCAGGAAACTTGGGCAAGAGCAATGTAAAAAGGCATTTAACTTCACCCTCCTTTGTCTCCTGGAAGTCATGGTTTTAATAATGTTGCCTGTAAGAGTAAGGCTGTGCTAATCCATGGGAGAGATGCTCCTGAAGGGAATGCAGCTCTCCTGAAGCCAATTCCAGCAGCTCCTGAGCCTGCTTTGCCACCAGCCCCTGGGCTCAGCACAGTCCTGGCCTTCTTGTGTTACTGAAATGCTGAAATCCACCCTAAAACTCCCCCAAAGGCCAGTCCTGGGAGGAGTCAGGGCCCTTCTGTGAGCAGGAGGTGACAGTCAGGTGTTCAGGCTGCTCATTCCCTCCCTGGCCTTTGTCACTCCCTGCACACCCAGGCTGTCCCCAGCTCCCTGGGTTAGGGACAGCCCCCACATCATTCCCAGGCTGTGCCCCTGAGTGTCCCCAGCTCTTTGTCACCCTGGGTTAGGGACAGTCCCCACATCATTCCCAGGCTGTGTCCCAGAGTGTCCCCAGCTCTTTGCCTCCCTGGGTTAGGGACAGTCACACTTCCATCATTCCCAGGCTGTGTCCCTGAGTGTCCCCAGCTCTTTGTCACCCTGGGTTAGGGACAGTCCCCACAACATTCCCAGGCTGTGTCCCAGAGTGTCCCCAGCTCTTTGTCACCCTGGGTTAGGGACACTTCACACTTACATCATTCCCAGGCTGTGTCCTTGAGTGTCCCCAGCTCTTTGTCACCCTGGGTTAGGGACAGTCCCCACAACATTCCCAGGCTGTGTCCCAGAGTGTCCCCAGCTCTTTGTCACCCTGGGTTAGGGACACTTCACACTTACATCATTCCCAGGCTGTGTCGCTTCTGGTCTTCATACAACACAAAAACTGTTCCCTGTTTTTCCTGTTAATGAAGATAAAATTGCTTCATTTATTCCTAAAATTGTGGGAATTGTAATAAATGTGTTACGGTAAGTACACACCCAAACTAAGGAGGGCTGGGTTGGAATTGTGTGTAAGGAATTCTTGCTCAGTTTAAATAGATTATTGTTCTAACTTATTGTAGAGAACACAATAAATGCAGCAGAGTCTATTCCACAGCAAGTATTTGGGTTTCAAAGCAGTAAGAGATGGTCAAAAGTATCTTAAAAATTATCTCCTTACACAGTTATTTTTATTAAGAATCAGGTTAACCCCTAAAAGTCTTATATGCACTTAAATTGAAAGAAAAATAGGTTTGTGTGGCACTTGAGGCTTAGTGGTGGACATGGGGGTGGTGGGTTAATGGTTGGATGATGTTAGAAGTCTTTTTCAACCCTAACAATTCTACAATTTATAATTTATATTGCTAGAAGTGGTTTTATCATAAAAGAATTTACAAACAAAAATTCTGCAGAATGAATGCCACATTTTCCTCGTCTTTCCTGTTCGTACCTGGAGGTCAAATCCAATCCCATGAGCTTTGCACATGTGGAGGAGGAGGTTGTAGGAGATCCCTGAGAGGCTGGAATGCCTCAGCTGGCTGCTGGCCACGGCACACCAGGGGCTGCTGGGGACAGGCTGCAGAGAACAACCCAGGACTGCTCATTGTCACACCAGTTTATATCAGAACACAACAGCTAAATGCTAAATTATTGACTTTTCACCCAGGATTCCTCATTTTCACACCATTTATATCAGAACCCAACAGCTAAATGCTAAATTACTGACTGACTTTTCACAAGGGATGGAGGGACAGGACAAGAAATGGCTTCAAACAGATAGAGAGTGGGATAAGGTGGGATATTGGGAGGAAAGTGTTCCCTGTGAGGGTGGGCAGGCCCTGGAATGGAACTCCCAGAGAAGCTGGGCTGCCCCTGGATCCCTGGAAGTGTCCGAGGTCAGGCTGGACGGGGCTTGGAGCAGCCTGGGACAATGGAAGGTGTCCCTGCCCATGGAGGGGTGGAATGGGATGAGCTTAAAGTTCCCTTCCAACCCAAAAACCATCCTGGGATCCTGTGATTCCATCAATGGCTTTTTGCCAGTGAACTCAGCGAGGAGTAAGGCTCCATTTGGAGGAATTCCTGTTCCTCACAGGCTCTGCTGGACACAGACATTTCCACAGACCCCTGTTTGACAGATCAGAGCCACAGAATTGCTCCATGAACCACATTTTGGTGTTTTCACAGCTTCAGTGGTCACTGAGCTCTGTGAGAGCACCGAGTCCAACTTGGCCTTGAACATTCCAGGAATCCAGGGGCAGCCACAGCTGCTCTGGGCACCTGTGCTGGGGAGGAATTTATTCCCAATATCCTACCTGCCCCTGCCCTCTCTCCCCCTTGGATAAGTTTAAACTCTCAGCAGTGCCAGAAGAACAGAGATGTTGCTCTGAGGAGCTCTGAGCAGAGCTGTTCTAAACCAGGGCTTTCCTGGTGGTGTTTTTCATGTCCCTGGGAGCAGGGACACTGCACATCAAAGCCTGTAATTTACAGTATTTTCCCTAAAATGATATTTGTTTTGACATTGACTCATTTAAGTTGACATAGCTGAAATCCTGATCTAATACATCTCTGCCTGAAAATTAATCATGTTTATAATATTCTGAGAATTAATAACACCCATTGCTCAAGTCATTAACTTAAAAAAGGAGCTTCCAAAATCTGTTTCTCTGCAGTAGGGGACCACAAATAAATGAATGCTTGATAAAATAATCCAAGCAGCAGTTTAACAAGCGTAAACTTGAATGTGGCTGCAATAACACAGAACTATTGTTTAAGGGTTGGCATCAGGTTGATGAGGTGCTTATTTCAGCTACAAAGCATGCATACACATGCATAATGAACTGCAGGATGAATTATTAATGTGTTGCTTATTTAGCCTCATCTGTCTAGAAGATAATGTATCCTAACTATAATGAGTGATTGGTTTTGTACATAATTACAGGAGCAGCAGTATCTAGGAAATTTGTTCTTTCAAAGAAGGAGTTCTAAAAATAAAATCCTCGCGCAAACTGCGGGGCTGCTCCGTTTTATCAAAATCAACCCTACCAGCATGGAGAATATCTAATAAATTAAAAGGGACAGAATCATTATTAACATCATAATTTTACACAAAGTGTTTTACTTAATCATTCATTACAGATCATGTGCAGTAAAAACATTTGTCTCTTGGTTTGTTGCTTTTTCTCTTTTCCTGGGAGACTGCAGTCTTGTAGTTAACTCTTCAGGAGATAAAAATCTCAGAAATACAGAAAGAATTAAAAATAAACCATATAATGACAATTTATGTTAATTCTGACAGAATTTTAATTAAAAAAAAAAGTTGCTACTTGATTACTTTTCATTTCTAAAACTTGGACTACTGGGACTAATCAGATCTAATTTACTTCTCTCCAACTAAAAGTGGTTGCTTGACGAGAACAATGGATCAAGAGCTCGTTAACCTCTAAATTACAGCTCCATGACATTTTTGGAATGGTGATACATTCCCTCCTCTATGGATGGTAAAAAGGGAGCTGTGAATCTTCTGTCAAAATATGGCAAACAGCTTTTGTTCTCAATCCATACATGTGTGTACACAGACAGGCACTTCTTACGCTGACTTTTCTAAAGACCTTTCTCTTCCCATTTTATAAAACCCCAGAATGTTTGGGTGGGAAGGGACCTTAAAGCTGATCCCATTCCACCCTCTGCCATGGGCAGGGACACCTGGGACATCCCAAGGTGCTCCAAGCCCTGTCCAGCCTGGCCTTGGGCACTTCCAGGGATGGGATTGTTCCACTTTAACTCCTACTGTGCTGTTAGCCCATGACTTCATTAGGCTGGTAAAATCCAAGAGCAGCAGTTTAAAACCTGGAGGGAGCAGCTTCAGCTCCTCTAGAACAGAACATGAACTGGGAGTTCCATGAATGGTTCTACTGGGGAACACATCACTGCTTACAGGTTTTGTCCCCTCGTGCTGAACCCCTTGGCTTTTGCTTTCCTTTGCTCCCAGAGGTGCTTGCAGGATGCTGGAGCCACAATCCAGGTTTCCATCTGTCAGGTACACCAGGAGCTGACTCAAGGCCAGCTGGTCACTGTAGCAAAGGTCAAGGTCTGTTGCCCACACCTAATCAAAAACAAAGAGGGGCATTCAAATAAATTACAAAGAACAACAACAAGAGTAAAATTCAGCAATTGTGAAGGAATATCTCTGCTTTTATTTGTCCTGTGTGTTGGCATTCCTGCTTTTGGCTTCCTGGTGCTGGGGCAGGGCTGGCAGTGATGAAGATGGGAGGAAGGAATTCCTGGTTGGGAGGGTGGGCAGGCCCTGGCACAGGTGCCCAGAGCAGCTGTGGCTGCCCCTGGATCCCTGGCACTGTCCCAGGCCAGGTTGGACAGGGCTTGGAGCAGCCTGGGACAGTGGAAGGTGTCCCTGCCATGGCAGGGGTGGCACTGGATGGGCTTTAGGGTCCCTTCCCACCCCAACCATTCTGGGATTATGTGATTCCACAAACCACTTCCAAACAGGAACAACCAGAACTCTTCTGTGACTTCAGAAATAATCTTTCAGGGAGGCTGAGGGAAGCACCATGGATTGCTTCTGCAAGGCTTCTCCACCCCAATAACCAGAGCTTGAGTTTTTCCCACTTTAAAAATCCCTGCCAGTGAGAAATGTTCCCACACACCAAGAGCTGCCCTACAGAGGACCCCTTAAAACAAATCTCCCAGTGAACAACTTGCCTCAGCCCTGGAATGGTAAATGGACTCATTATAAGGATATTAAGGGGTCAGGCAGCCAAGGCCTCTTGGAAAACTGGAGTTAATTTCAGAATCATATGCACAGAGTAATGCCCTTTGGATAATGGGGAATAAATCACCCCAGTAACAGTTGTTAATGTCTAACTGCCAAGTATCTGTTGCTGTATTAAATATCCTATTTGTCAACTTAAATATTTCCTGCTGCACGGTCTAAAATGCAAATTGGATGCTAATGGCTGGCTTTACTTAGTAATAGGGGAATGTTCCCCAATTATAATACTTAATTTTCTTCAATAATTTATTGGTTATCATCACTTCTGTGAGACAGGAGGAACTTTGTTGTCCATTTCTCCTTTTCCAGTGTGTGCCAACCTTTTCAATGAGCCAAATAATAATTATAAACTATTCACATTGTGGGAGTGTTCCATTAATTTCGATAAATATTATCAACAAATCTCTGTCAATATGTCCTAGATCTTATCTGAGCTGGGTTTTACCCTCTCAATTAAAACTTTGCCCTCAGAAAGAAATGACAGAGCTGCATGAGGCAACCAGGGACTGAAAATCTTGGATATCTGAGGGCTGTTCACTGGCTCCAAGTGAAGTGTTTGCTCTCAGTCCAGACCCTGATTACACCTGACCTCAAGATCCACCCTTGAAGCTTTGCTGACCACACAAACAGAGCTGCAGGAGGCAGCTGGACTGAAGGGGCACCATAAAAAAGGTTAAGCCAAAACATCCCTGTGACTGAAGTGATTCCCAGAGCAAAATGCAGGGAATGGGCTGAGGATTTATTGGCAGATAAAACATTAACAAAGCAGCCTGGCAAAGCTAAGCAGCCATCAGCAGTGGATGAATCCACTCCCCCCTCCCAGGGACCCACACAAACCCTACCAGGTGTGGGGCAGGAGTTACTCCCCAGATCCCACCTGGTCAGTGCCTACAATCAAAACACGAGCAAGTGACATTGTTTTCATTTCAGATGGAGATAAAAACCCAGTAATTACTTGTGTGATCCATCTCACACCATCTAAACAAAGCCCCAGCATGCCAGGCTGGTGCCCAGGAGCTGCTCTGGGAAGGATGGGAGCTCTCCTGGAGCCCCTGCTCCAGGGAATGGCTCCAGCCTGCCCAAGGGAGGGGCTGGCAGAGCAGGGAAGAACAGAAAAAGCTTTTAGCAGGGCAACTTTTGTGCTGGGAATGATGAGATTGACCAAAGACTGGTTTAAGGAGTTTCTGTTTGCTTCCAGAGGGGATGAAATAGTTTTTGTGTGTGATTTCATCATCTCAGCCCCATTTCTGCTGCTGCCTACAAAACGAAGGAAAGTGTCCATCCACCCCTGTTGTAACAAAGGAGGGCTCCAAAACCTCCTTCAGATTCATGTCCTCCTCAGGCAAAGTCATTGTAATATTTTGCATTTTCCAATATAAGGTGTGGGGAGGGGGAGGAGGAGGAAGAGGAGGAGGAGGAGGAGGAGGAGGAAGGCAAACATGGCTGGAAGCCACCTGTCCACCTCCTTTCATCCCTGAGCCTGGGGCTGAACCACCCCTGCTGGAACTCAGAGCAGCCAAATGGTCACTCCTTGGTGCCAGCTGGGATCACCCCCAAGGATTGTTTTCCTGGCTCAGGGCTCTCTGAGAACACTTTGGTTGTGGCCATGTCCCCTCCTGCCCTGGATGTGTCCCAGAACATCCCTGACGTGGGGGAGAAAGGAAGAAGGATCAGATGGCACAAGATTTTCCAGCTTTATCCTAGCAGGGGATTCCCTTTTGCCATGGAAACACAAAAATGTCCTTTAAATCCCCTTTGTGCTGCTACAGAAATGGGAGAACACAGGGCCTGGAAAAGGGGTCTGGCCACACAAATCATCTCCTCCAGTAAATCAGGAGCTCTTAAAAGATGACCTGTGCAAAGGTGAAGTTTAAGTAAAGAATGATACAATCCTACAGATTAACAAACATCTGTTATTGAGCCCATCCCCATTTTCTGAGCATACACAATAAGGGCAGAGATGTAATTGTACACATTTATGATTGGGGGTGTCAAATCCTGACAGGATTGCATAGAAAAATAGCAGAACACAAGGAGTTTTCATTTGAAATGTGGGGATTTTCAGAATTTATGTTCAGAAATTAGACTGGAAAAGAACAGCCTAGAAGTGATATCTGATTTTCAAAGTCCCAAGGCAGGAGGTAGAGGCAGTAGTTAAGATTTTAGATTTAAGACTGGTTTTGGGACAAGCTAAGCCCAGAACAGATTATGACTCTCCAGAATCGCACCAATGGAAAAACAAAGAGTTAGAAATACATCCTGCAAGACTTGCTGGCTGTTTATCCAAGGAAACATTTGCTTCCAGGGGATTCTCCTTGGGCACACACAGCTTCAGAGCCGGCGCTTTGTGCTGAAGACATCTCCAGTGAATAAAGTCACAATTATGCTGGAATTCTTTACAGCTTCCATAAAAACACTTCAGCTTTAGAATGTAAACTTGAGAAGGGAAGGAAACGTAAATTCTTAAAGAGTTACTAAATTACAGCTGGGCTCTCTCTGCTTTAACTGTTTTATCTCTGCTGCTATCGACGGCTGCGTTACTGTGAAGAGCACCCGTGCTAGTTTTAAAGAAGTGCTTGAGTGATACTGTAAAAATGTCAATTAGTAAAATATTAATGCAGCCTGGGCGTTGGAAGGAGAGTGGCTTTTATGACTTTTAAACCCTGCAGGAGGATTGATTGGGGCGGTGCTGGCAGGCTCTCCTCCGGCTGCCATCTCGTGGCAGCTGCTGGCATGGGCTGGGGCTCGCCCAAAAACTCCGATTTTAGGGCACTGCAGCTCCTCTGTGCTGCTGGATACAGGGTTGGGAGATGGTTGATGGCAGCAGCGTGGCTCTTGTTGGAAAACAGCACATAAAAATGTGTTATGTTCTGTCTGGAGAGAGCTTGGGACGCTGTGGGAATTGTCCAACCCCAGCACTTTATCCAAATTATTATTCCCTCACTACTGCTGGGAAAGGCTGGGGCTGTGCAAAAGCCACCAGACCCATGGAAAAGGTGGTTTAGGGTCCTGCTTCTCCAAATTATGATGTAAGGAAGTCGATGTGTTTAAATATTCCCACTCAATCCAGTGGATTTATTTGGGTGCAGCTCCCAGGTGGGGTCTGACAGTCAGCACTGGGCAGGACTTCACTCTGAGGGGCCAAGGCTTGGCTTGGAATGATCATTGTGAAAAATAAAGTGGGAATCAGAAGGGATTCACTCCAAATTATGCACCTCCACTTCTTCCCCAAGACACTGAAGACAGCATCTCCATCTCCCGTCCCCTCAGGATCAAGGCACAGGTGCCTGAAACTGAGATGGAAACAAATTCCTGAGGCCCTGAGGCAAACAGGGAATTTTGTGGAGTCCCAGCTTTCCCTGCCCCTTGGATCTCGTGGCAGCCAAGGCTCTGTCTGCCCACTGAGCTGTGTGACAACACACATTGTTCCTTATCCATCCTTTTCTCCTAGTGCTCCAAAGATCACTATTTTCTGTAAAACACACTTGGAAAAAATTCCTGAGTATCCAGGAAATGCATCTGAGCCTCCCACCTACTGCATTCAAGGGGACACTTGTGAAAGGAGTGAGCAAATGTTCCAAAGGTCTGATAGGATTTCTTGTTTGCCAAAAAAATGGTGCTTTCAGGAACACAAGCCTTTGTGTGATCTCTCTCTCTCCCAAGACAGATGGCCTCATTAATTGCCTCCACATCCAGTTAAATTTAAAAACCTGTGCTTAAATAATGTTAAAGTTGTGGTACATGCTGATAAACATAGGAAATGTTAAGGTAAAAATCAGCTGGGAACAAGGGAACAAAACCAAGATGGATGGTACATGCTGATAAACATAGGAAATGTTAAGGTAAAAATCAGCTGGGAACAAGGGAACAAAACCAAGATGGAACAGACAGGAACTCTAAGAAGCCACAAGGATCACCAAATGATTGAATGTGTCCTTGTTTGTTCCAGGAAATGTCACAACCTTAATAATCCAGGAAGCAATCCTGCACGTCAGTGACCTCCTGGCTTGAGTGGAGCAATTGGCAGAGCTCCCGTGGATTTCCCTGGGTGAGAATGTCATCCCTTCATCTTTCTAAAGAACTTTCATGGAACTTGGCCAGTGTGGCTCATCCAGAGCTCTGATTACAATGCCTGTGCACATCCATTGTGGGAGTCAAATATAACTGGGATCTGAATTCCAGAGCTCACAAACTGCTGTGAGGGCCAGGCCCTGGCACAGGGTGCCCAGAGAAGCTGTGGCAGCCCCTGGACCCCTGGAAGTGTCCAAGGCCAGGCTGGAAGGAGTTTGGAGAAACCTGGGATAGGGGAAGGTGCTAGAATGAGGGGCTGGAATGAGATTGTTTTTAAAGTTCCTTCCTACCCAAACCATTCTGTGATTATTCTGATTCTCTGGTTCACCACAGCCACCCTTACACTGCTGTCAGCTCCCAAAAACCTCAAAGTTCCCCAGCTCCCCACAGCCTTGAAATCCAGGGATGTTCCCTTTACAGTCAAACATCCTAAACACTGAGGTCCTCAGTGAAAATTCCAGAAGAAAACAATGTCAGGAGAGTGAAAAACAAGGAGATGCCTCAGGTCTACATGTGGTGCTGTTAGAAAACCCCTGTGCTTCCCTCAGCTCACGTGCCCCAGAGTTTGGAAATTGCTTGTTCCAAAGGGCAAAGCTTTCTCCTGGTATTTTTTGGAGTTCCACAGGAAAGCTGGAATTTCTCAGTCTCAGGGAGACAGGGTGAGGTCCCAAACGTGCCCCACTCACCTGCTGCTCCCTCGTTTGGGGATGGGTGAAAGCCACAAAGTCCACGGAGAAGTAGCCGAGCACTCCTTTGGATTTACAGGCCTCCCCAATTTTCAGGCAGAGAGCTTTGAGAACCTCAGGATCCACGGAACGCTGTGGGATGGTGGTGCCAGAAGATCTGAGGGGCCCCTCAGCGTGGAGCTGATCTCCAGATGACAGCAGTGTCACCTCCCCCGTTGGCTCTATCAGCAGATCCACCGTCAGGTTGGTGACGCTGCCCGAGGACGGGAAGGCTTCGATCACCCCACCTGGAATTGGAAAGGAATTGTCCTGGGATCAAATCCAGCAGTGCTGCCCTTCAGAGTGCACAGGATGGAGCCAGCAGCTCCAGGGGGGACTGGAGAGACAGCAAATAAATCAGTGCAAGGGGAGCAGCAGAGCCAGAATCGTGGATCTCTTGGAGGAGAAAGGAGTTTAATTAGTGGCTTTTCATTCTCATTTCCAAAGTGGATCAATCCAACAGCTGACTGGAAAACAGGCTCTGGGGTAGCAGGAGTGAATCCAGCTCAGCACCAGCCCACAACAGCTGGGAAATGCAATGTTGGGATTTGGGGGATGGTAACTCCTGCTGGGAGCTCATCTTGGAGACTCCCATCCATGTAATGGTCTTAGATAAGAGTCTGCCTGTGGCATTTACCCACAAGAGGAATTTGGCACAGAAATAACAATTTCCAGCATGGTTTTCCATAGGAAAATCACCAAGGTAACTGCCTGGCATTCTGGATTTGCCTTTTCCTTGCATATAATGCCATAATCCAATTTGTTGGGACAAAAAACTATGTAATAAAATTGGTACTAGATGTGTTAAGTGGCATTATTTAAAAAGAAAAATGCCTTCAAGGCTTTGATTCATCCTTGTCTCTTCCATAAAGAAATCTATATATTAAATATTCTTACATTTACCTCACGTCCTGGAATTCCCTAAAACCTTTCCCCAAATGTAACAGTCTTTGGTGACAGCCAAGGATTAAGGAGTTGGTGCTTATGGATTGAGAATCCAGGATTAAAATGGACTAAAATCTTGGATAGGACAAATGAATGATAGAACAATGGCCTATAATTCATTGGTAAATGAACATTTGAAGCATAATGGAGAAATAAAAGGAGATAAATATTTAAATGGGCCCAAGACTAACAAGAATATGGCAGACAATATGGCATAATTAGTCCTTCTAACACTTCCCAGCGACTTTGCAGTCTTATTTACCTTGAGTAAGAAATGTTTGGAGGAATTTTTCCCATGTAGGGAATCGTTTCTCATTGACTGGCTGTACGTGCTGTGCTAAAAGGCCCGGCAGCTCCTGGGAGATCTTCACCAAAGCTAGCTCCTGCAGAAACAAATTAAATAGAACCACAAGCAATTTTACTACAGAAATGAAAACTGCTTGTGGGGTGATTAAAAACCAGGCCTCCAACAGGCAAAAAAAAAAAAAAATGTGGTTACTGTTTACCCACAGTCAGGAAGCCTTTTTTAATTTTTCTGCTTGCTCCTCTTCCCTCCTCCTGCAAAACTGTCCTTCTCTGAAAGCCAGTCCCCCTCTCAGCACAGCATCTCCTGCATTATAATTTATATCAATAATTGGATCTGGCATCTGAAAATGCCAAGTACTTGGTAACTGCTTTGGGATCAATAGCAGCAGTCAATAACTTGTACATTGCTTGTATTTTGAAGCAGCATATTGAAATAGTCACATATGCCAGCAATAGTTTTGCTGGTTCTGTGTTCAAGCTCTTCTATCAACCCAAATACCCTTTAGATAGAAAAAAAAAAGAAAAAAAAAAAAAGGAATAATCAAGCAAAAGCATTTCTAAAGCAGGAGATATCCTTTTAAATCTGTAAAATATCTGTAACAAATTCCCAAGTGCCTGTGTCTTTGGTGGAATTTGATTAGTCACTCCACAGCTACAACAGCTTTTTTCCTAGTTTTAAATTCTTTATTATCACACACACAGCCCAGCCCCATTAAATACAGCAAGTAACTGCTCTGCTTTTACTGCTCCCCAAAGTCCCAGAAGAACAGGAGCATATAAAGTGCAAGGACCCTGACTGGATTGCTTCAGGCTCCTTTTCTTGCTGCTTCATGAGCCTCCCCCTGCTCCCCTGGGGCTCTTTCCTCTGTTTTCCATCCCCTCTCCTCAGCACCCCGTGCTGCAGCAATGACCAGCCCTCCTCTGGTCCTGCCAATGTCCTCAGCCACAATCACCTCATCCCAGGCTCTGGAGGAACATGAGGAAACCTTATGGCTGACAGCTAAGAATAGCAAATAAAAAATTAAAGCTGTTTTTCCGGAGCAGTGAGTTTGTAGAGATGGGCTTTGTCATGGAGCACATGATGGAAAGTAACCAAAAATGCAAATTCAAAATGACTTCACTGGGATTTGCCTACCAGCACGAGGAGGATGGAGCAATGATTGGAATCACTGGATGGTTTGGGGGGGAAGGGAGCTGAAATCCCATCCTGTGCCACCCCTGCCATGGCAGGGACACCTCCCACTGTCCCAGGCTGCTCCAAGCCCATCCAACCTTGGACATTTCCAGGGATCCACAGCTGCTCTGGACAACTGGGGAATCTGGGATGAACTCTGCAGGCAGGAGAGCTGGATAAACCCTGCTCCTGGCTGCAGCCACCCTGAGACTGCAGGAAAGGGATTTTCCACCTGGGCCTCGGCTGCCCAGCCATGGGAGGGGGACAACTGAGGGGAAAAATACCTTAAAAATATGGAGGTGCTCAGATGGTGATGCTGATATGGGATATGTGGGCTCCTGCTGTATAATAAGGAGAAAAACATGTTCTTGACTTTAAAAATATCACAAAAAAGGGGTTAAAAATGGTTTTAGTCAGTAGATCAATACACTAAGCAGCACAACCTCATGGCAAAAACAAAGGAGCACGTAAAACATAAGATCCAGACTCAGAATTTACCCATAAAACAAAGGAGCACATAAAATGTAAGATCCAAACTCAGAATTTACCCATAAAGCAAAGGACCACATAAAATGTAAGATCCAAACTCAGAATTTACCCATAAAGCAAAGGACCACATAAAATGTAAGATCCAAACTCAGAATTTACCCAACAAAAACCAAAGGAGCACATAAAACATGAGATCCAAACTCAGAATTTACACAGCTTCCGCTCTTTACCCTGCTCATTTCCTCAGGATCTGGAGGAATTTTGGTTTTGGATGGCTGAGCTGACTGCAGCAGCAGAGCAGTGAGCAAATACCCATTGGCCTTGTGTGGGTTTGTATTTGTGCTGAATTATTGCTGAGCCAACAAGGCACAGGCTGAGGTGGCTCATGAAAATCCTCTCATCTTTGCAGAGAGGATGTGAGCCATGATGGATGGCCTGGAATTGCTGCCCCACAAATCAGTTCCCAGCTGGCAGTGCACCCAGCAACACCCCTGTCACTCCCACCTCTGAGACCTGCTGACTTGGGGGATGGAGCAGTTTAAACATTTATACAGAAATATAAACACAAACAAAGCATGAGGTGTGCAGTGGTTGCCTGAAAGATTTTGATAAATCACAGGGGGAAAAAAACCCCAGGAATCTCTGCTGGGTGGGGAGGCATTTGGGAGTGCTGTGCCCAAGTTTTGTGTGAGGAACAATTAAAGTGGGATACAAATTTCCAGTGCCACAGTTCTGAGCTGTCTGTCCTTTCACACAGAGCTGGAGGATCACACGTGGCTGTGGAAGAAACCTCCCTAACCTGGCTGTAAAATCAGGCACAACTTCCAAGGAAATTTTCTGTGCCTTTTGAAAGTTCTTTTTGCACATCTAAGGATGGTGCTTTAGGATAATAAATCATGGAATCCTGGAATGTTGTGGGTTGGGAGGGAACTTAAATCCCATCCCATTCCATCCCTGCCACTATCCCAGGTTCCAACCTGGCCTTGGACACCTCCAGGGATCCAGGGGCAGCCACAGCTCTGGTGAGTGTGAAGGATGTGAGCACCAAACGTGTCTGCCAGAAACAAAGCAGGATTTTAAACAAATCATCAATTCAAGAAAATCTGCCAAAGCTCCCTTGAGCCCCCCAAGCCAAGGTGGCAGTGCTCTGAACAATGCCTGGGCAGCCAGGGTGCTCACAGAAGGGAGTCACCCTTTAAGGATCAGCTCCTGGAATTCTGGTTGGAGGGTTTTTTTGCAACTGTAAGCTCTAAAAAGGCAATAATCCTGATTATAGGGAGTTTTAGTAGGCAAATTCAAGCCTGGATCCAACATTCACTCATGAAGTCAAACCTTTTAAAAGGATCAGTGCTCAGCTGGCTAATTTCATTTAAATTGGACAGTATCTCCAGCAGAGCCTACCAATGTTTTCTCTCTTGATGTGGCCCAAAACAATCCAAGACCACAGGCTCAACAGAAACACAGAGCATTTGTTCCAACCTTGCAGCTGATGTTTCTCAGTAGCAGTAAAAACGAGCAGCCCAAATATTGTTTACATCGTGTAGAAATCTTTACATCTCTCCAAATTGGTTTAGCACCTTCTTATAACAATGAAGAAGCACCAAAACCCAAAAATTTACAGTTTTTCCCCACTAAATGAGAAATAATTTCTCACCCTTCTGCAAGATGAATTTTGAAAGGTTTTCTTAGGCAGTTGCAACACAAAATTAGGACCAAGCATGGCAGATGCTGAAGGCAGTGGTAGGAAATCTGCTGGAGACAGAAAGAAAAAGAAAGAAAAGCTGAAAAGCCTGTTGAGAAGAGAAATAAATAAATAGGAAGAAGAAATAGAAACAGGAAGAAAGATCTGGGAAAAGCAAGAGGATGCAGAGCAGGATACATTAGCTAAAAACCACATGGAAAGGAAATTATTTGGACCTTACAAGCATACAGAGTGAAGAAAGCAACTCCAAATTCCTTTAAGGAAAGCTGAGTGGGCCAGAGAGGAATAAAATCAGCAGAGAGCTCCTGAGCAATACAAAGTGCCACGACTCTGCTGCAGTCAGTGGAGCTGTGGCAATTTATGCCCCTTGGATGGCACAGTGACATTTGCTACCATTGATAAGCAGATCCTTTCTCTTGTGAGCAGTGGAGCTGGGATAACTTACCCCAGTCTGGGTGGGCACTGGACCAGCCCAGCTCCTTCTGATGTTCTCAGTGACACCAGCAACCATGGAAGAAGCCAGTGACTGCTGCCTAAATATCCAAATAACTGCCATTATTTCCTGTTTTGCTAATTAAACTGATTATACACTTTTTTCATAATTCAGACAGGTCCACCCTGGCCAGAAGCACAAAACACCACAGTGAACAGAATAAATGGAGAGATCTCTAAAACTGGGATTGGCTTTGGAAGTGACACTGAGCACCCTCTATCTGCTTAAAGTTCGCTACCGGATTTCAAGCCCGGGCTTTTCAGTGTTAACTGCAAATTTTAAAATTTAAAAAGTGCCAATTTTGCCTTCCCCAGAGCTGGGAAAGCACGTTCTGAGCTCGGGTCCCATCATGGCAAACAGCCGTCATTACCGCCTCACACAAATGCTTTTCCTATGTAAAATTGCTTTGTAAAATATTTGCTCCATCTGCTGAAAGGAGCAAAGACAATTTTCCCTGATAGCTAATGGTCCATTTCAGCTGCCTGCCATGGAGGGGGTGCTGAACACAGAGCCCACAATCCTGCACCGCCCGGGCTCATCCGCGCTCGCCGGACGCGCGGCCGCCGCTGCTCCCACTCGAGGGGTTTTTGTGGGGCTGAGGCACATCTGCCACGCTTCAAGAAACCCCACAGACAGCCCCTTCCAGGCTCCCAGAACAAGGAGCTGAGCTCCCTTTCAAATCTCCAGCCCTTCAAGTGCTGCTCCTTTTTTCACGCCACATGGGGCCACGGCCGGGCTGGCGCTGCCGCTCCGCACGCTGAGGGTTTGGGCACAGAAACATCAAGCACTTCTTTTAATTCTAAATTCAAAAAGCCCACAAAACCCCCTGTGCCCTGCTCCAAACCCCCTCCCAACTGCTCCTTTCATTGTGCACTTTCCTATTTAGCATCCATTGAAAAGCACATGTTTACATTGTGCCCTGAACTACTTCAACATCTGCTAACAGACCAATAAAAAATAAATAAACCAGGATTGTTTAGGAAGAGAGATCCTTCCTATTTCCTGCAAACACTCCGAAACTGGCAGCAGCAATTTGCTGCCAGATCCCTGCTCAGAAAGCAATCTATGCAGGGAAATCAAAGATCAAATCTGTGCTGCCAAAAATCAGCCAGGAAAAGGATCTTCAAAGTGCTGTGAACTCCTCAAATAATTCTGCTTGTTTACCCACTGAATGTTAATTTAAGATTAGCATAATTTTATTAGCTAGTTTGTTTTCTAA